TGATAGGTACTGATATGAATAGTGTCCCCGGGGGACATGAGTCACTTAATAGGGAAATTATAACCTATTCTCTGAAAAAATAATAGAAGGCACGCCCCCTGAAATGCGCTTTCACCACTTTGTTGCGTCTCCTCAAACATGATAGGTACATATATGAATAGTGACCCCGAGGGACATGAGTCACATAATAGGACAATTATAACCTATTATCTGACAAAATAATGGAAGGCACGCCCTTTGAAATGTGTTTTCACCACTTTGTTGCGTCCCCTCAAACATGATAGGTAATGAGATGAATAGTGCCTTCGGGGGACATGAGTCATAATAGGGCAATTATAACATATTCTCTAACAAAATAATGGAATGTTCACCCCTTGAAATGCGCTTTCACGTGAATAGTACCCCGGTTATAGACATTATTATATGTAGCGTATTATAAACTTTCAAAACACACTTCAGCTCCCAAGCTTTCAAAATCTCATATTCTAAATTTCTCAAAAATCTCAATCTTGTATTTTCTAAAAATGAGTCTTCTTTCTGCTGTTGTTTTCTATGACAGAGAAATTCAGGAATCTGAAAAAGGAGGTTGTTTTTTAATCAGATCATTATATCCCCTTAACCTTGAAGAGAAATATCACTCTTGACGAGTTAATCACAAAAATTTCGTTAAAGATTCGTGTAGCATGCTGGAGAAGACTATTTCACTTCAGTATAGATTTCCTACTGAACTTTTTCCACTCACATATACATCACTTCAGCTTTCCAACGATGATGATGTTACTATGATAGTTGATGCTCATATGGTAAGTTCATAATCTCTTATTGAAATGTATGCCACTTTTATTGAGGTTCGTGCTTCTCGTGGTCTCTCATATTCCTCTCACTTTGGCATTGCATATCAAGCTGATCAAGTTGATAGCCCGACGCAACTGATCTGTAATGATTTCACATTATTAATGGTAAATACAACGCCAGATGACATGCCATCAAGTTAAATAGGAAGGAATTCATCAACAACTGCACATTATCTCAACCCAAGTGGCTTCACCAATAATCCATATGGTAACATCTCTTCTACTTCAAGGGGTAGACATTCATCTGTCACTGTTTTTGACTTACACATGGAAATGCCATCGAGACAACAGTCTTTTCACAACCCACATGATACAATGACTTCAAGTTCAATGGGAGGACACGTAAGCGACAACTTCTTTAACCTTAACATTGGATTATCAAGAGAACCCTAATCTCCACCAGTAGAACCTCTTCGTGAGCCAGGTGCTAAAACGGGATTATTCGTTGAACCTGACTCACCACAGTTTAGCGTACACTCTGATGATGATGATGATGACGTTCCCATAAATACAACAACAGGAGAGCTTCATGCACATATGTATGGGGCTGATTATGATGCAATTTACGAGACTAAATTTTCGGATCTCCCTAATGTTTGCAACTCTGGATTTCAGTCATCAGTCAATGATGGTGATTTACATATTGGAATAGAATTCACATTGAAAGAGGAAGCAATGATAGCAATAAAGAGTTACAATATTCGTAACTCAGTTCACTCCCGAGTTGATCAATCTACCACGGAGAAATATGTTTGCTACTGTGTCCAACGTGACAATGGATGTAAGTGGATGGTCCGTGTATCAAAGAGAAAGAGGAAGAACAACTTATGGAAACTAACCAGATACAAAGGTCCTAATACGTGTTGTGCAAGAGGTATAAACCAGGACCATCCCAACTTGGACACCAACATTATTTGCCAAGCAATCATGCCCATTGTGAAGCAAAGCTCTCATATAGCTATTGCAGTATTGATTTATGCTATACAATCATAATATGGGTACACTGTCTACTATAAAAAAGCTTGGTTGACAAAACATAATGCCATTGTCAAACTTCATGGCGAATGAGATTCCTCTTACAACTAGCTGGCCAGTTGGTTTCATGTTATGCAAAGACTTAGTCCTGGGACAATTGTTGAGTTCAAAACTTAACATCATTACGTTAATGATCGAGTGGTTCGCGATCGCTGCAAATTCTACCGTGTCTTTTGGACTTACCCTCAGTGTATTAATGCAATGAAGTACTGTAAACCAGTTGTCCAAATTGATGGCACTTTCTTGTATGGGAAATACAAGCAAGCTTTATTATTGGTTGTAGTCCAAGATGGTAACCGTAATATTCTTCCGGTTGTGTTTGCCCTCGTTCAAGGAGAAGACACTGAGTCTTGGGCTTTTTTCCTAAAAATTTACGTTTACATGTTGTCATAAGGGAACGCGTATGCATTATTTCAGACCGAGGAGTTGGGATAAAAGAAACAATGGACTCTTTGGGTCCAATGTGGAAACCTCCACATGTTCAACATCTTTATTGTGTCCGTCATCTTGCTGCAGACTATTATGGAAAATACAAGAAAAATGATGAATGTCAGTTAGTCGTGCGCATGGGTATGTTACTTTTTTCCAATTTTTAATCATTTTTGTATTATTTATTTATACTTCATATTAACTATTGCATATTCCTAATGGCTTAGCGTACGAACTCTTACCTCAAATGTTTGAGTATATGCTACAAGAATTGTTTGGCAAAAATAAGAAGGAGTGCGAGTACATTATGGACATCAGCTAAGAAATGTGGACAAATGCGTATGACGGGGGTATCACTATGGTCATATGACAACCAACTGGCTGAAGCAATTAATTCAACCTTAAAGGGGGTGCGTCATTTACCAGTCACGACGTTGGTCAAAACGACTTATTTTCGTTTTGGTCAACTATTTGCAAAGCTCGGTGGATAAGCTCTTACTTGGATACAAAACGGCCATATTTATCACCCAAGACTAGTAGTTGATTTACAGAAAAAAAAAATGGATGCATCAAATGGGATGTTGATTACAAATTTTCTAGCACCCGTGAATTGTTTCGTGTAATCGAAATGACACGTCCTCTTCAAAGGATTGAAGCTAAATCTTTCAGAGTTAATCTGCAAGATAGGTGGTGTGATTGTGGTTTCTTTCAAGCACTCAAATATCGATGCCCTCATGTCATTGCAGCTTGCTCACATTCGTATTTGGACTACAAAAATTATGTTGATCCCGTATACCAACTTTCACAAGTATTCAAGGTATATGAATTTGAGTTTCCGCCCATAGATAACGAAAGAGACCCAGATGAGATTCAAACTTGGCCTACAATTGTTCCAGATCTGTTGCTATTGAGGGACTCAGGTCATCTAAAATCCACTAGAATACATTATGATATGAATATTTGAGAGAAGTCAACATAACAAAAAAGATGTGGACATTGTAGAAACATCGGGCACAATAGAAAAAATGTTCAGCTCTATTATCATCAAATAATCATTAACCCTTATGTAATTGCATTTTCTATTTCAATGAATGTTTTTGTTTCTAATATTTACATGTAATTGTATTTTTTATAATTTTCCAATATACATTTATTTTCTACCTGAATTTTCCACTTACCTCTTACTTCAAGTAATTAACATTTTCAATTTAATCGAACCTTACCCTAAATCACTTTAACCTATACAACCTTAATTAACCTTTGACCTACATAACCGGAACACTTTACATAATAAATTCCTAATTTATAATAACCGTAAACAATAAAATTAAATCTTTATTTAAAAAAATATCAAACGCTCCTTCTAGCGTGGTACCACATCAACTAGAAAACACATCCCTGGAAACACGCCTTACATCCATATAAGCAAACCCCGGTAAAACGCATCCCCAGTGACGCGTCTTTATGTCAGCTCAACCAAAAGGGTATTAGTTAAGAAAATATTGATCAAACGGTGTTAGTTCAGGCATTATAGGGGTATAGGGTGTTAGTTAGGTCAAATCGCTGGCAGAGGCTAGACATCAAAGCATGAGGTTTTGAAATGAAGTGTGATACAATAGTGTTAATATATAATATAAGAGTATTAATAATTTATTAAAAATTAAATTACATTATCCTTTATTTAAAATTAAGTTTAATATAAAAAATATCTAAATTACATCTCTTTTCCCATTTAAATTTTATAGTGTTTAAAGTTATTGATTTCTTCGTAATACCTTAAGAAAATATTTGATTCTTTAAATTTTATTATTTTATGTTAATTTATTACTTTATTAACGTCATTGTTATTTAATTATGATTTAAACTATTTAGAAACGACCTTAATCGATAAAATGATGATTATTATATCTAGAGAGGGTTCAAACATCAATAATTGTAAGATATTTGAGTATTAAATGATAAATGGTGTAATCATATTAGATTAATAAAAAAATATCAATTTTCAATTTACGGAAACGTATAATCCATATTTTATATTTGTTCATAGAATATTAATATTTTAAATTTATATTCATTTAAAAATGATAATTATGTTCAATTTATTTTTAAAAAATTTTGAAATTAATAAATTGTTAAAAATAAAAACCCAAATATTTAAGCAAATATTTCAAGTTTTGGAGTTTTAAATTAGATTTTTCTAAAGGAAATTAGAATCGTTATGCATTTTTCTGATTTTATTTGATTGGAACGTCAACTTTTTTCTTTTAACTGGAAAATTCAATGGGGTAAGGAATATGCAAAATGATAATATGAGACAAAACTAATAAAAATGAATAGATATCAAACTAATAATTTATTAGACAAAAAGGATCATAGAAGAAAAATAATAATAAAATAATAAACAAGGGTTGATATAAATGATTAGAATTAATAAATTTGAATTTATAAGGTTAAGATCAAATCCCACCATCGTCACTTTTAAATTACAATTTGTAAAATCTTATATAAATTTCAATTGAGCAATCTTAAGTATGCCATGACCTTAATTAGAGGAACGGCGCTTGATTTAAACTTTTGTGTACTAAAAAAACTAAATGCAAATATATATATATATATATATATATATATATGTCGTGAAACTGCCATTCTTTGTAAAAAGAGCAGTTCCAGCAAATTTGCAAAATGTTGAACTTTGAAGTTGACATTTTTGCAAGAGAAATCATCAAACCATCCTCACCACAAATCAAAGGCATGAAACCTTTCAAACTCACCTTCTTTGATCAACTCACCCCCGCAACTAACGTCACAAATATCTTGTTCTACTCCATCAGTGGAACGAGTTTCACTCCCGCCGTTATCTTGCATCAGCTAAAGACCTCACTCTCAGAAACCCTAAACATCTTATATCCATTTGCTGGTCGGATCAAAGACAACATGTTCATCGACAGCTTCGATGAAGGCGTTCCGTTTGTATCGGCTCAAGCCGGTTGTCGGTTGTCCGAGTTCCTCAAGCACCATGAGGTCAAGTCATTGAACAAATTGCTTCCATGCCCTCCATTCTCCAAAGAATTGAAAAATGAGGTTGTCCCCCTTTTGTGCCAAGCCACCATTTTCGCTTGTGGTGGGATAGCCATAGGGTTCGGCGGTTCTCATAAGTTGATTGATGGGCAAACGTATTTTAATTTATGCAATGTTTGGAGGACAATCTGTCGAGGATCCCATTATCGTGATGTTGGATTTCATGGTTTAGCTGAGGGATCCAAGGTGTTTCCACCTCTAAACGAAGTGCCAGAAAATTACTTGTCAACGATGGAGAACTTGTGGTTCCAGGGATCTCATAATTACATTACAAAGAGATTCACATTCGACGCCAAGTCCATAACCGAACTGAGGGCCATTGCCAAAGGGGAACTCGAGGCTACACCCTCTCGGGTTCAAGCTTTATCAGGTTTTATCTGGAAACATTTTATGGCAGCGACGCGGACGATGTCGGCATCCTCGAAACCATCTATAGCAGTTCAAGCTGTGAACCTTAGGCCAAGAATGAACCTTCCTTTGTTACATAAATCGATTGGAAACCTCTTCTGGTTTGCAAGTTGCGCTGCAGATATCGCTGACGAGACCAGCACTGAGTTATTCGAGTTGGTCAAGTTGATGCGAGAATCCGTGGAAGCTTTCGATGATGAATACTTGAATTCATTACAAGGGGAACAAGGGTTTGAAGCCACGGGGGACTTAATTAACCAGCTGGAAACCCTATTTTCCCATGAAAAACCAGACATGTTGGCCTTCTCAAGCTGGTGTGATCTCAGACTTTACGAGTTTGATTTCGGGTGGGGCAAGCCGCAATGGGTTGCTCCATTCGGGGAAGTCGCGTCTGATTTTAGGAACCTTATTGTTTTTCTACCAACAAAGTGCGGGAAAGGCATTGAAGCATGGACAACATTGGATGAAAGAAGGATTTTTGTTGGAGAAAGATGCTGAGTTCCTCAAGTTTGCATCTCCAACTCCCAGATTCTCAAGTCTTTGATGCAAATTGTCTTCCACCGCTGGCACTGCCATGGGAAGCATTGGATGGGATTTATGTTAAAGGTTAAGCTGGCTGCTGTTTGAGGGCCAAGAAGTCTGCTTGCATACTGCTACTGCTGTTTGAGTGGTACGCGTAACATATGCAGGAGTAATTGCATGCTATAAAGCGTGTAAATTGAGCTTTTGATTGGTGAATTAGGCAGCGTAATGGCGAATCTGTCATTTGTTGGCAGTTTGTGCCCGGTTTTGTTTAGTGGTATCTTTTGGAATTTTAGATTGTATACCGGTGTTGGTAATGTTCCATCCTAATATGTACTCCTTTTTTCCGACTAAAACTAATAAAATTTTTAATGAGACGTACAATTTAAATAAGTTTGATTCGATATATAATAAAATCATCTTACCAAAAATAAATAAATAAATATATAAGTTTTTTTTATCCATTGTTTCATTTCATTATTATTTGTTACTACAAATTTTTAACTATTTTGTTGTTGCTGGAGAAAAGATGCTGAGTTCCTCAAGTTAGCATCTCCAGCTCCCAAATTTTCAGCATCCTGACCTAGCTAGTACGCCCGCACAAGGTCCCGACATGAAGCACCTAGGATCCACACCTTTATCTTGTTTTTGGTTATAGATCACATTATCAATCCTTCCTTTTTTCAAATATAGTGGGATTAAGGTTTTTCTGCATGTTCTTGTATAATTCATGCCCAAACTCAACATATTTGAATCATCAAAAAATGGTTTCGACAGTTTAATGACTTAGCTGAGGACATTTAAAGAATCAAGTTGTTATCGATGTGAATATTATCTCGAAAAAGGTTTATGATTAATAGATTTGCCCTATAAGTGAAAGGTTTTCGTGATTGAGGTTACGACAGCTATTTTACAATGGTTAATTTGCATACCGTAGTCATTTGCTACGTCCGCATATCATATTGAGCTTTCCACTCGAACTTCATTTCGATTAAGTGGGAGCAATAAACTATGCCATCATGACGTTAACCCCCATGGGGATAGCAGTTTATTTTCGGGGTGCATTTGCCCTATTTCTTTGTGAGGTAAACATCTATTCTAGCATAGGAAAATGTATCTCCCTGATTCAAACTTGGTTCATATGAGCCTATAATGAATAATGATCGAGGGTCTTATTAGCCTTAGTAGGTGATAGTCAGGCCTATATTTAAGCCCTGGACAAGTGGGACTCTGGTTAAAAAATAATAAATTATTTGTTTAGTCACCTATCTATTATTTTATTTTTGTTTCGGTTATTCAATTATTGTTTTTAAAATTGTACTTAATGATACATTTTAATTTTGTTGGTTATTCATTATTAAAAAATCAAGAACGATATTAATATGATATTTTTAAATTATTTTTCGCTTTTCATTAAAATTATATTTCTTCTTCTTCTTCTTATTATGTAGCTATTAGGGTGCACCTTGAGCAACTATTCATGCCCCTCATTTTGTACAAGGCTCCTAATTTTTTTATAATATTGTTTATTTTATAATTTAACCCTTAAATTTTCTTTAATTTTAATTTTTTATCCTTATAATGATGTTCTTAATTTTTGTAATCCTACTTTTTATCTTTATAATAGAGACCCTTAATTTTTTCAATCCCATTTTTTTTCATTTATAATTGATGATCCTAAGTTTTTCAATCTCACCTTGTACCTTTATAATTAAACTACTGCTTTTTTCAATCTCACTTTTTATTTTTATAATTGAGGTTCCTAATTTTTTCAATCTCACCTTTTACCTTAATTTGATGCTCCTATTTTTTTAATATCACTTTTTAGCTTTATAATTGTGGTCCCTAATTTTTTTAATCATACTTTTTACTTTTATAGTTTAAGTCCCTAATTCAATCATTTTATACGATTTATTAACATAATATTAAATTAATTATTCAAAGTATTAGAATATACTTTCATTTTATAAGGGTCTAATTTTTAGTTTCGCTCAGGGTCCCGAAAATGTCTGAGATAGCTATGTATTTATTAGATAGTTTATTAACCGTACTAAAAAAATAATTTACAAACAAATTTATTTATTTTTTCTTGCTCTTACAATTTAATTTTTTTCGATACTTATGAATGGAGGCCTAATGTAACACCCTTAACTCATATCCGACCCGAATACAAGTCCGAGGTGTCACATTGACTTTTCAAACTTTGAATCTTATAGAAAATCACGGGAATTTTTAAAACTTTCATTAAAACTAAATACATTAATTTACATAAAACCATAAAATACAAAATCGATCAGAGTATTCGTAATTAACACTTATTACATGCCCACATTCTATACATAACCAAATACATACTTTGTCAACTACTTCTGATCTCTTAGTAGTATTGCTGTCTGTGCTACTTCTATTTCCATTTTTCCTGATTCTTGGTACCTACGTGTAAATCACTTACACGCTAAGTCATAGACTTAGTGAGGCAATAAATGAATGTGCAACAATAAACTTATGAATGTTCATACTTATAATTGGATCATGACATTTCAATATACATGTATCTATCGCACGATAACATATAATGCACATACGAAACTTACCTTCTTGTATCACTTTCACTGTAAATCGGTATTTCAATTGCATACCCATGTATATTATTGAGAATAAAGGTATGTGAGTGCATTGAGGTTATGCACTAATGCTGTCACCACAGCTCGTATCAATTCCCTCATGGGGCACCGAACCTTAGTTCAGTATTCGTCCCGAAGGACCACGATCCAGAGGTCACAATATAAACTGTTCATATGTGCCTTTAAACATATGTAGACTGTTCATATGTGCCTTTAAACATATATAAACTGTTCATATGTGCCTTTAAACATATGTAGACTGTTCATATGTGCCTTTAAACATATATAAACTGTTCATATATGCCTTTAAACATATGTAAACTGTTCATATGTGCCTTTAAACATATGTAAACTGTTTATATGTGCCTTTAAACATATGTAAACTGTTTATATGTGCCTTTAAACATATGTAAACCCTCGACTCTTGGCATGCCAACTACACCTATAGTTATCATATCGTATACTATGGGCATTATTCTTATACCTTTCATATCACTTGTTCTTTCTCTTCTATCACATACCACATGTATGTGTAATTATATATTTTATATCATATCACATGTATCACAAGTGCATACATTCACGTAAATCATGTAGCTCATATCACTTAATTCATATCATGTTCTCATATCACATATCATATCACCATAATTATCATGTATGCATGTTCACAATCATTGTATTATAAAAATCAACATAAGGATTAGACTTATCACAAGTCTTATTCCATTATACTATACATATAGTATGCACTTACCTTAGCTTTGCTTTGATTCGATTCTAATCCTTTGATCGTTCCGGAATATGCTTACTTTTAGTATCTACATAATCACACATGGATCTATATCAGTATTATAACTAATATACTCTAATGGTTCACTCTTTAGACTAAGAGAAAAGTCAATTTCATCTTTTAATGAAGGTATGCATCGATGCACTACTGATGCATCGGTGCATAAAAGGTATTCGATGCAGTATTATTGCTGGGATGCATCGATGCACTCCTTATGCATCGATGCACCAATTGCATTCGATGTTTCATTATTAATGGGATGCATCGATGCACTACTTATGCATCGATGCATGAATTGCATTCGATGTATATATTTTAAAAGAGTGCATCGATGCACTACCAATGCATCGGTGCACATTCAAACAATTTCTGGGTTTTAACCTTGATGCATCGATGCACTAGGAATGTGCATCGGTGCACTAGGAATGTGCATCGGTGCACTCTACCCAGAATCCTCTTTTTGAACCCGAAAGTTCATTCATTTTGGATTAAAACCTTCATGTTTAATCCCCTCTTTCATTCTTAACTCTAGTACACATCCTTAAACCAATTTATACTCATTTATTTCATCTTAAACCTCAAAATCCTATCTTCCATATGTAATTCAATAATTACATCAATTTTGCAACATGTTTCAAATCCAATTATATTACTTCATATCTCTTACTCAGATTGATGACAAGTCAAATTTAACTTTCAATTCTTGTTATGAACTCTATTCCAATATTTCATTCAAGAACCTCTAATCTTTAATCTTCTCTATCTCCTTTATCTTTTGATCTTAAGATAACTTAAGCTTTCCTTAAGCTTAATTATCATCTAATGATCAAAACCCAATCTTAAAATTAACAAATAATTAACTAAGTAGAAGACTCACCTTTGAGCTTGGAGTTACGAGAGGAGAGGAAGGAGAATGAGAAGTAGTTCTGGAGAAATATCTCCCTACATGCTTATCTCTTAATAAAGAGATAAGATAATTATCTTTTAGATAAAAAGACCATTTTGCCCTTTAATTCATTCAATAATTACTAAAATTTTTAGGATTTATCTCCAGATAAATCATTAAACTAATCCATTCTTCTATTTTAACCACTAAATTCTGAAACTTTACCATTTAGTCACTAACCCATAGTTTGTGATGTTACACCTAACTTTTATATTCACCCCGAGCCACTAAAAACTCAGAAATGGGTCTGGTGATAATAAGATGATCCAGATACCTTTTTTGAGAATTGAACCACAAATGATGAACAATAAGAACCTGCCCCAATTAGAACCATGTTAAAACTTAAACCATAAAGGATACCAAAATATGTAATGAGGAATACAAAACAAGCTTTGTTTTTTTATCATGTTAAATATATTGTTGTACAAAGCATGTTGGGTATGATCTCTTAAAGCATGAAAGGTAGTAAGCTTGTCACAGCCTGATTTTGGGGCTAGAAGTTGAAGGAGAATTTGTATCTGATAAACTAAAATGTGGACTACAATGGATCAAATTTGAGGAAATTAAGTTTCAAGGGGGCTTATTTGGAATAATTGAAAGTTCAAGGACATAA